ATGACAAACGTCGATTATTACTTGAGAAAGCTTCCTGCTCATCCCCTCCTCTCCCTGCTTAGTGAGTTTCCATCCAGACGACCTGTCAGTATCCCTGATCATCCTTTCCTTCTTTTCTCCCAAGCTTCTATTTCTCACTTCCAATGCTTCCTTCTAGAAGGTAACTAAAAAGTTTAGGTATCAATTTCTGGCTTCTTCTCTTTCAGTGTCAAATGCTAGATGTGAACCATCACCACCCACTCAATGGCTGCCTACTGCAACTGAAAAAAACACGTAATCTATTCTGCCTAGTATTCACGACGAGCAATACAGTTTTAACTGCATAGACTGCTTCTTACAGAGCAATGTAAAAACACAGATAAATCATATTTTCATGTGCCGCCTTACCATAAAGACACAGGACCTTATTTTCATACAGCCTTCATATTAAATTAAAACAATCATTGGAGAATACAATCATTATTCTATTCTTATTGGGCCTCCAGAGCTGTCTTTCCCCAGACACATTCTTGCAGTGGTCTCACTACATTTACAGAGTATAGGTATGTTTTACATAAATGTAGAGACTCGGATATGACCATTTGAAATTAACTGTAGGAGCTGGCATTGTGGTTTAGTGAGCTAAGCCACCACCCGCTGCACTGGCTGCCACTAGAGACCAGGCTGCTCTGTTCCACTTTCAACGGAGCTCCCTGCTAATGGCCTGGGAAAGTACCAGAAAACATCCCAGGTGCTTTGGCCCCTACATCCACATGGGAGACCCGGATGAAGCTCTTGACTCCTGATTTCTGGCCTCAGACTGGCCGAGCTCCAGCAATTGCAGGTATTTGGGGAGTGAAACACTGGATGGGAGATCTCTCTCTTTCTTTAAGTCTGCCTTTGAAATAAGTAAATAAATAAATTATTGTAGGGAAAGTGACCCAGCAGTCTGTGCTGGTATTAGTGATGTTTTAAAACGTGTGGTTCTTGGGCCATGGCAGCACAAGTCTGACAAGAGCGTGTGTGAAGGCAAACGCCACATGTGTTTTGCACACAGTACCCATCTGGAGGCAAGAAATCTGGGCTGTGTCTGAGGGATCCCAGAGGTGCCAGCTGTGTGAAGGAGAGGGCGCTTCACGGAACGCTTTCCCAGCACCGCAGCTCCTCTCCTGCTGCTGCAATGCCTTAGGAAAGGAACATGTAACTTTTTCTAAGAAAAATCCAGGTACGTCTCAAAGACCACATATATTCAGTATCCTTTGCATTCTACACTGTGATTATTTTAAATATCAGCCAGTTCTTATGACAAAGAACACCTCAAATAAAAATCAGTGGCCTTTTCTCACTTCCAACCTTGACTAGCTACCAAATAGCTTCATAATCTCAAGAATGTTAAAGGAAACTAAAATTACACTACCTGTGTTTTAAGAAACAATATTCATGTACGTTAGGTGCAATATGTAAGTATTTGCACATACACTAAGTTGTTCACTGAGAAAAACATGATTTCCTCTATGTGCCTCTACTGTGCTGGAGGCCAAAAAGTGTACCTACACACTTACACTTGATAAAGAAAAAACCTGCATGCACACACTCATAGATATGCAGGTGCTACACGCTGCTGAGACTGCCGCTCAACCAGGAGGGAAGACCTCATTAACAATCACAACCAGTCCAACCTAGGGATGCTCTGGGGCGTGGTCAAGACACCTGAGCAAGAGAAGTGACCCTGACCATGACTGGGCTTTGAGCTGGTCCTAGGGCTTACCTTGCCCATACCCAGGCTCTTTCAACTAACACAAGACGAAGAAGGAGAAATCAAATGAGTACCTTGCCCTAAATTTTTATCTAGATCATCACTGGAGACCAGGAGGCAATAACTTAAGCAGTTCCCATTCTATAAACTCCTCCACACTGCCCTTACCCTATTTCCGAAGAATCAGTACACCTGCCAATAAAAGTCACTGATGAAGTGTAAGGCCTTGTGTGAACAATTTAGACTGGGGGAAAGGGATGGTGAGGCTGAAGTTCGCTGCCATCTACAATCTGGTCCTGGTCTCAGGTGTTTATATATTGATGAGCTGTCAGGATTTGGCATAGGTGTCCTCCTGGCACATTATATGATCCACCACCCTGCCAGATACCAGATAAGGCAGCCACTAGATCCTGAACTACAAATCTCTCAAACTGTGAACCAAAACACATCTTTCTCCTTTCCCAAGAACTTCCGCTCGGGTACTTGTTGTAATAACAACTGGCTAACACATCTCCTTGTATGCAACCTCACATACACAGAAACAAGAAACACGAAACACAGAATTGCTGGTATTCAATCCATCTTTTAAATTTTAAGTCACATTCTATTTAATGCTCAATAATTTTAGTCACAGCAAAATGTACTAAATGTTATTACAAAGTCAATTAAAAAAAATCAATAAGCCTGGTCCCTGCACGCTAGTCTAGTAGATAAATCCTTGCCTTGTAACCACTGGCATCACATATGGGCGTCGATTCTAATCCCGGCAGCCCTGCTTCTCATCCAGCTCCCTCCTTGTGGCCTGGGAAAGCAGCTGAAGACAGCCCAAAACCTTGGAACCCTGTACCCATGTGGGAGACCTGACGGAAGCTCCTTGCTTCACACTGGCTCAGCTCTAGTTGCTGGGGCCACTTGGGGAGTGAACCAGTAGATGGAAGCTCTTTCCTCCTTCTCTCTATGAATCTGACTATCCAATAAAAATAAATAAATCTTTAAAAACAATCAATACGCTTTTTAAAATTTTATCTCTACAAACAAGGTTTACACCAAACCACAGATAACATCAACTTAGTTCATAAAGCCTACAAATTTTAGTGGTACACTCAAGAAATTTGTTGTATGCAATACAGAGCAATATAAATTTACTGGTTAATATTAATGTAACTACTAATTTTACTTTTTTAAAAAAAAATTTAAGTGACTCAGAGAGAGAAGGAAACACATAAAAAGAGAAAAAAGAATCTCCTCGGACCTGATGCAGTAGCCTAGTGGCTAAATCTTTTCCCTGCCAGGATCCCATGTGCAGGTCCCTGCTTGTGGCCCGGGAGAGCAGTAGAAGATGGCTCAAAGCCTTGCGGCCCTGTACCCATGGGGCAGACCGGGAAGAAGCTCCTGGCTATGGATCAGCTTAGTTCTGGCCATTGCAGCCACTCGGGGAGTAAACCAGCGGATGGAAGTTCTTTCTCTCTGCCTCTCCTTTCCTCTGTAAATGTGACTTTCTTATTTAAAAAAAAAAAAAAGTAAAAAAAAAAATCTCTGCTGGTTTACTTTTCAAATGCTGAAAGGCCCTGGGTTAGGCCGGGCAGGGAAATCAGTCAAGGGCCCCCATGTGGATTAGGTAGGGCCCACACAGGTAACAGTGCTTGCTGCCTCCTGGGGTCTACACTAGCAGGAAGCTGAATGCTAGAGCCAGGGCTGGTTGTCCAGCATCACATTCTGATGTGGGTTTAGGCTGAAAATGCGGCCCATGCATGGAACTGGCCATCCCACAGACGTATCATTCAGCATTTTCAGGGGCTGGTGCATGGCAGAGCAGGTAAGGCACTTCAGCGGTCCAGCATCCCACACCTGACCATAAGCCTTGGAGTACTGGCTCTTCTGTTTCCCACACAGCTTCCTGCTAATGTGCACCTGTGCACTACCAGAGGAACCTGAACGTGGAACAAACACCTGGGTCCCTGGCACCCACCTGGGATTGAGCTCTGGGCTCCTGATTTATGCCTGGCCCTACCAGGGCTGTTGAAATTTGGGAAGTGTACCAGAGGATGAAAGATCTCTATGTCTCTTTGCCTTTCAAAGACGTGTGTGTGCGTGTGTGTGCATGAAAAACTTTCAAGCTGAGGTTTCAAATGACAGCAGTGCTACTTGAAAGCCCTCATCCTGCCTACCCTTATTTATCTCCACAACCTTAATTCTTAATGCCAAATGAAGAGGAGTTACAAGGCATGCCTTTACACACAGTAACTGACGCGATCCCTTCCTCCTGGGTAAGTGCCTCTTGCTAATATTCCCCTGGGTGAACTCACACACAACACCTGAGAAATAAGGGAACGGGCTATCACGCACACAGCCCAGAACAAAAGCTCCAATTTCATTGTGGGCCATCAGAAGGAAAGTCTCCTAAAATTAAGTGTAGAATGAAGTAACTTTTGCACACTGTTTTTTTTTTTTACAGAGTACACAAATCCCATCATTTTATTGGTTCCCTTTTAAATCCCTGTTGAAAGTCTACTGATATCAGGCTACTGGGAAGCCCTATTTAAAAAAAAAAAAAAAAAAAAACTACAACGCAAATTAGAATTAACAAGTCTTTAAACTGTAAGCATTTGTCTCATACATGACTAGGATCAAACTAAAACTCCACCTGCAGCTCTCACAAGCCGCCATGACCAGCTGCGTAAGACAGCAACACCACATGCTCATTGCTCCCAATACAAAAAAAAAAAAAAATTTTTTTAAAGTAACTTTTCATTATTAAAAATAACCGCGGTGGCAGGGCGGGCAAAAGCTACACTCGGGCACTTGAACTTGGGCTGCCGGGATAGGCTTCAGCACCAAGCGTCCTTCACCGCCCACCGCAGGAGGTAGAGCAGCTAGGTCCAGTCTCAGCCTCACCTCCCACCCACCATCCGAGGGGTCCCCGCCCCTCAAGTTTCCAGCCACTCGGCCTGCCCACACACACATCCTGCACCCAACCCTGCACGGCCGTGAGCTTAAAAGCCAAGTTCCTTTCTCCACTGCCCTGAGTGGGAACTGGCGACGGGCCCCAGCGCTTTCCCACGCTCCGCCTCGGCGGGCTCAGCTCTCCTGCAGCCCTGGCAGGGCAGTCTCCCGCACCACACGGGAATCCGCTCCTCTGCACCGGGCCCCAGCGCCCTGGTCCCGCCCCCTGCTCCGCCCTGCTGCCCCATGCTCCTGGGGTGGCCCCTCGTGCACCCCTGCGCCCTCTTCCCACCTCCCCGCTGCCCGCCTGCCCACGTCTCACCTTGGTCCGGATCTGCCCCGAGGTGGACACTTTGCGGATCAGTTTCTGGGGTCCTTCCTGCTCCGCTTCGCTGTCGGACGAGTCTTCTCCCGGGCCCGCCGCCGCAGGGGCCGGAGTAGCCGCGGTGCTGGCCACAGCCGCTGCTCCTCCCGCGGCGCCCGGAGGGTGGTGCTGGCCGCCAGCCCCGGCCATCCTCTGCGACTCCTGCGGGGACACAACACCGCCCGGCGGGGGCGGCGGCGGCGGTCAGAGGGTGGGTTCGGCCCGAGCCGCGCCCGGAACCCCGTGCACCAGCCGCCGCCATCTTCGGCGCCCCTGGGTACCCTCGCCAGGAAGGGGCCAAGCACCTTTCAACTCCCGCTGGATCCTACCCGTGGGGGGCACAGCGGACCAGACCCTTGCGCCTCTCGGGTCCCCTGCGCAGCCAGCCTCGGGGGGTTCTGGGAGCCGTGCCCCAGAGTCCAAGCAGTGAGGTGGCGAGGCAGGGGTCCGGGTAATGTCCCTCCCAATCTCTCTAGGGTCTGGGGTTCCCAAGGCTGTGGCAGGGCAAGCTATTCCGGCCACTGATGTTCCTCCCACGCTTTTGGGCACCGGAGGCCAAAAAGGACCCTGGGCGAAGAAAAGGAAGCTGGAGCGCCTCACCCCCTCACCCGACTCCCACAGACGCACCTCGCTGTCTCCAGGACCCAAATCTCTTCCCAGACTCCTGGGCCTCACCAAACGGTTCCAGCTGAAAAAAGCCCCCCTGGGCCCCCGAGACTTGGGCGCAGCGCCACGTCTGCCACCCGACCCCAGACCCCTTCCCCAGCCGGTACCTCGCCCACCGGCGCGCGGGATGCGGGTCCTTTCCGCGCCAGCAGCTCCAAGGCTCTGCTTTGGACTCCCACCACTAGCCCAGCACACGGAAGAGCCTTTTCCGGGAGCTTCAGCCGGCCCTGAGAACTTTTCTCCGTTCAGAAGGAGCGATCCCTTAAGCTAACAGGAAACTGGGAAGGGCGTGGAAGGGAGCGCAGAGACAAGCGCGTACACGCAGCCTGCGGGAGTCAGTGTCTGGACTGTGCCCACCGCCACTAGCCGCGAGAAAACAACGCGCTCCGACCCTGCGGCCACCAGTGCCAGAGCACAGGAAAACACTGGAAGTCCTGGGAGAGCCACTCCCTAGCCCCGGCCAGAGAGGAGGAAATGGGATCAGCGGCAGGCTGCAGTCACTGCTCTCTCCACTGGTCCCCAGCCAGAGGGCTCAGTGGGTTCTGAGGATAACAGCCCCTTGGGGGGCTGTGCCCGCTGCCCAATGCCAAGGAACCCTTGCAATGTGTGGGAGGGCTGGGGGAAGAGGATGCTAAAATAACAGAGTCCTCTGGTCATCTAAGGAGAACTCCAAGCGCTTAACTGTATTTTTAAACAGAGCAGAGTCCCTCCCAGACGGCCGGGTCTCCACCTGCAGAACACACTGCACTTCTTCACCAGGACCATGCCTATCAGCAACCCTCCCCGCCCCCAACCCTGTTCTCTTCCTCTTTTTTCTGTAGACTGGTGACCTGTAAAGGTTTCTCCAAACGAGGGTAGATTCTATTTGTTTTAGGTACACTCATAGAACAATAATTGTGCGTTTCTGCCTTACAGCCAGCATTCTAAGAGGTTTTAAGCCATGGGATGCAATCCCAATACTGTGCCTCACGTTGTAGATGAAACCCATTAAAATGTAAAATGTGCAGTTCAGTTTACATCTTCAAAGACAGAAGATGCCCATCATGTAATACATGCAGGCTACTCCTCTGCATCAGTTGACTTCCCCAAAAAGGAGAGGAGTTGGACAAAATCAACCCTCAGGGCCCTAAAGCTCTCACAAAGATGCAATTCTGTGTCTACCAGGAGATATTGCTGGGACTTTCTTGAAAAGAAAAACTACTTAGAAATAATGGCCTTTGCCCCCACTAGCAAGCGGCAACAACAAATCTAATGACTTGGCAATGAAGGCAAGGATACGTGAGAGGTTTTTTTGTGTTTTTTTTTTTTTTCTTGTGAAAGAACAGGCTTAGTCCAGCCCTGTCTTTTAATGTAAAGAAAAAGGAGGCCCAAAATCATGAACTAGGACATGATTCAAACTGTGATTCTTATTCTGACACTGTATTCATTTTCCCAAGCGTGGCAGCAGAGGTCAGCTTGTCAGCTATCACCCACTTTCCTTCCACTCACTATACTTGAAGTTTCACAGAGCAACACTTTTCCAATCTCAGGGAAGACTCTATTGCCCAGGTCCATCTTGTGGCAGTTAGAAGAGTACCCTAACACAACTTAAAGACACTTTGAAACAATTTCACATCCCAGAGGCTAGAGTGGGCAATTAATGACTCAGTAAAGTACTTACAGAGGTTTAACCTTCCGGCCAGCTCTGCTCCTCACGGAGTCATGGTACAATTCTGAAAGCAGTCCTAGAAAGTGCATGACTGCTATTCCAGGGGCTTCCAGCACATACAAAACTCAGTACAAAAATACTGCATATCACCTCTCTTCCCACAAAAGGCAACTCGTGACAATCCTCTTTAGTCATCTCTTCCGGGGACAGGCCGTTTTAAGGAATCCTTACTGGAGGGTGTCTCACTCACTCGCTGCTGCTTAGCAGTAAATGAGAAGTTTCTTAAATAACTATCCAAATCCACACTGTGTACTTTCCTTAAAAACAGGATAACAATGTTCAGATCTCAATATTTTCAACTGTCTTAAGGTAGCTCAAAATGGCAACTATAACAAAGTTTCACTACGAAGTACAGGGCCCTATTTGACTTATAAGATTTCCTTGATTTTTTTCTTGTTTGGTGCTTTCAGATTTCCAAATAATTTCTAAGATGCATCTTACTTATCTCTTCTATTACTGACACTTTAAAATCTGGAGCACATCAGACACACATGGGGGGAACAAAAAGACTTCACCACCTAGACTCTGCATTCAGAAGAAAAGGCAAACAGAGACGCTCTCCCCAAACTAGGTTTTCTATTAATAGGGTTTCCTGCTCCCATTAAACACTCACACACAGACACCAACTAAAGACACATAAGTCACAGTCAAATTCCATGCTGACTTCAACGATTTGTGTATTATTATTATTATTATTTACAAAGGTATTCTAAATTATATCCTAATTGATCACCATCCATCACAACTTTTACGTTTCATGTTCTATGGCTTTACATTAAATATTATGCCTTAAACAGACACAGTTTTTTAGCCCCAAGAACTGATGCAGACACTTCAGAAACAGTCATGTTGACACCCGCTCCCCAGCAGGGAGGCACCACGCAGAGGCCACTGCCAGCTGCACAGGCAGAGGCCTTGAGAGACTGCTCTCATTCAAACTTCAGAACTGTTTCCGTAACACACTATTTCTTACGTGGTCAGAATTTAGCTTTCGAGATTGTACCCAATTAGAACTGCCTTCATTGCTACCCAAATGGAAAAAGCTTTTGCAATTACAATCCGTGGTAGCACCTGCACATACTGTAAGGTAGCACCTTACTGTCATGTCTACACTCGGGGACAAGGATCTGTCGTCATCCAGACATCATGTATAAACACATGCATAACTTCACATTGACATCCTGCTCCTCTCTCCTCAGAAACCTCTGCTCCCTAATATCCCACTGCTTCTGGACATATTATCAGGGACTTAACTAATATACAATCATTGGGAAAATAAAAGCAAGTTTTGAGCAAGACCCTCGGAGCATGCCCCACATCCAGGACCTGGGGAGGGTGGGAGACTAGGTGGGGCTTCTCCCTTAAAATCCCCTTTTACATCAGATATATTAAGGAAACAAAACGGAACTAATTGTCTTGCCCATCTTCCCGTAGCACTTGAACCTTTTTACACTAATTATACCAAGATTGTCGAAAAATAAATACATAAAACTTTTAACACAAAAAAGCAAGTTTTAAATAAAGTGAACTCTAGCATGCATTTACTAAAAAGCACTCAGTAAATACTTCCACACTTTTTTTAAAGTTTTTGCTAGAACTCAACAGTTCACATACCCTCCCCCATTCAGGATGTTACCTATAAGAATCATCTGATGGAAAGACCTTCCTATATACCCCCTCCAGCCCCCAAAATGATTTTAAGTGGGTTTGAAATGTAGGTAAATGTTTCTATTTCCATGGGGACCTAGTGACATTCCAAAGCTGGAATTATGGGGAACACACTGACACGTAAATGTTAACATTCATAGTCTTTAGGCCCAGGCCTCTAGCCACAGTACTCATAAAACTAACTGCTTATTCAAATGCTCCCACATTAATAGCTTTGTTTTACCCCCCGAACATAAAGAAGGGCATCAAGCCGTGCGACTGCCTGTCAGGGGCAGACATGAGTGCGTTTCAGACACAAAGTACTGTTCCCCTTCCTATTAGTCAGCACCGATTCCTGGGGCTGTGTCTGCTATCCTGCCGGAACAGCTCCATGCATTTCACGCTACTGGGTGTGGGTTCTACCACAAAAGGAGAGGCAATCCTTACACAGGTGCTGTTGTGTGCTATAAGGAACAAGGCAACAGGACCTGCCTGTTGTCAGAACTGTTTATTCAATACCAAATATTCCTTCTCGGAAATATAAGTGGGTGTATTTTATAGCAGGTATGACATTGCCTATATTTAACTCCAAAAAGCTTTCAGCGACTCTGCAATGGAGACGAGGTGAGAGTAGGGATTCTTATTCTGAGGTCCTTGAGGGTCCAGGGGTTGGTTGCCAGGAAATCTGTGCTTCTCCTGAAAACCATACTAAAATGCATCTAGACATATATATGTGAGTATATGTAGATCCAAGTAAACTTGTATAGCTGCACACTGCATGGCATTTGCATCAAGGACAGACCACATCTGTCACGGTGGCTTACAAAGGCTAGTGACAGCATGGCCATCTCAGTCTGCGAAAGTATCCTCTACAATGTTAAAACGATGACAAGCAGTACCTAACAACAGTGGGTGACTCAAAACTCCCACTGTTGCTAAGTGACCAGGATGGATGTCACACACGTGCTTTCTTTAAAGGTGAGAGTGTCCCTAACTTTGATCAGACCCTACAAAGGATCACTGGCTCGCCCAAACAGGCCAAGAACCCCTGGTTTTCATGGATTCTGGCTCTGCAAAGCACATTCAGGTTAACCTGATGCTTCCTCCTCCACTCTCTGTGTCCCTAAAA